GGCGCGCCACAAAATCCATTCTCCGAGCTCACGGAAGAATCTCCGAAGCAGCACTTTGCTCTGAAATTCATGCCGAGCAACAAGATATGGACCTGCAAGAAGAAAGGCACAAGAGGAAGACATCAGCACCGGAACTCGCTTTCCACACTAAGCGACGCTACAACAACAACAACCGACAACAACCAAGGCCCGTACCTCCTATCTGCCAAATCTGCAAGACGTCAGGACACCCACACTCACACTGCCCGAATCGACAACAGCCAGCTCCACCGCAACGACAGCTTCGACCCTCAAGCAACCAAGTGGCATCGACGCATGCGAACCCCACGAGCCAGTCGCAGCCCTCAACAACACAATCTGCACAAGGAACAAGAAACATCGTCAGCTGCATGGCAAAACTGACCGACTCCTGCATCACCGAGTCACCGCCGCACTACTCACTGGAAGAGAAACTTGACAACACCACACCTCGCCACGAGTAACTCCAACCGAACCCGACATACGCAGCCATCACCCAAAGTGAGCTGTCCGGGAAGGACACTTGGTTCTTGGACAGCTGTTGCGGCCAGCACATGTGCCCTTCGGGACGTTTCGTTCAGCGCGAGCATCAACTTCAACGCGAAGTCGTCATTACCGTCGCCAACAATCGAAACCTGCGCACACGACGACAAGGCGTGGTTCAACTTCAGTCAAGGGAGACAAATCTTATACTGCAAATGTCAAAGGTATTAATCACGGAGGGACTCGGTTACAACTTACCGAGCTTCAACCAACTGATGGCAAAGGGCATACACCTTGAAGCAGACAGCACCACCCAAGAATTCAAATTGTACCACGGGAGAGGAGGTCTTTATCACGGAAAGGCAATCTTGAAAAATAATGTCTTCGTCCTCGACTTCGTCCCAGATCTCAGCACCGCAACCAGTGATGGGATCGTCACCTTCACCTCCTAGACACATCCACCGGATCTCGACCCCGACTTCAGTCCAAAAGGCTTCTGGTATTCACACACCATTCCTGAAGTAGAAAGAACAAGAGCGTTAGCAACAATACAACATTCGGCAGCAGCAGAAACAACACCGGCAGTAGCAGAGACATCATCGGCAGCAGCAGAGACAACACCGGCAGTAGCAGAGACATCATCGGCAGCAGCAGAGACAACACCGTCACTAGCAGAGACAAAATCAGCAGCAGCCGAGACAACATCGGTAGCAGCGGAAACAACAACAACAGCAGTGGCAACAACGACACCAATCGCTGGTCCTTCAACGGCACCAATCTTCACCGACGATACATCACCAACACCCGCGCAGCAACTAACTCCGACTCAACGAGAAGTCCACCGAAGCGCCAACTTCATCGCCGGTTTCTACTCCAACTCCGACATGTATCGGCGCTCACCCGGACATCGCGCCACCGAAGGAACCTGGCACGCAAGAATGGGTCACCCAAGCAACACGGTGTTAAATAACACGATAAGATCAGGCGTGCTCGACAAGGACTCTCTACTTCTAACTGACGGCAGAGAACTTCAGCGAGCCCGTGGAACATGCTTCACCTGTCCCGAAGCTGACCTACCGCATCAACCGTTCGTGCCTCACCACAACCCAAGCGCACCAGCTTACGCGCCACTCGAGAAGGTGTATAGCGACATCCTGTACAACCGCGAGCGTGGACAAAACGCGTACAATTACACCACACCTTCATCGACGCAGCCACTCGATACGTCTGGCACCTCAGTCTCCCAAGCCGCGACATGGCCTTCGAAGCCTTCATCGCCTGGCTTCCAGAAGCAGAACGAGAATCCGGAGTAAAACTCAAGAGCTTCCTGTCGGACAGAGGGGGAGAATACACCTCACAAAGATTCAAGGAGACTTGGCAGAGAGAGGAATCAAGCGACTCATCTCTCTCCCCTACGCCCATCAACAGCAGGGTGTAGCAGAAAAGATGAACAGGACCCTCCAGAACACCATGCGCAAGCTTTTACGTGGCATGCACCTGCCCAACCACCAGTGGCCCGAAGCAATGGACCACGCCGTCATGCTACACAACTTGCTCTCGTCATCATCGCTCCCGAACAACGCATCACCGCATCTGCCGTGGACAGGAAAACTGGGCAGCACAAAAATGTTGAGAGTCTTTGGCTGCATGGTACAGTATTGTCCCCTATCTGCACGAGCTGGCCGATTCTCCCAACGCGCACAGTGGGGACTACACCTGGGCATCGAAAAACATTACAACGCATGGAAGATTTTCGACATCGAGACAAAGGAAACAGTAGCAGCACGTGATGTCACCTTCTACGAAAATCTCACCCTCCGTTATTACCTCGCCAACTTGCAAGAAGGAAACCCCGATCGCTCCGATGGTTTTCTTGGCACCCGAGCCTTCGCCTCGGCAGACGACGAAGCTGACTGGGACGAGCAGAACGTGGAAGGAGCCTCAGAAGAAGCTGGACCCCTCCCTTACTGCTCGTCGACGTACCAATGGATGACGAAAATCCAAGCAAAAGCATCAACGCCGAAACCTATTACCACTTCGCCGACAACGGTGACGTTACACCTGCACAAGTCAACACCAACGAAGCAGAACGTGTAGGACCAAACTTCAACCCTACACCAGAAGCGGGAGATGAAGCAGTTTATCCCGAGGACACATCACTTCCCCGCTACACACAGAGTGGCCTCAAGATACTTGGCCTGGTCACCATGGTCCACGGCACTGCGCTTCCTAAGGAGCCTGCGACAGTTCAGCAGGCTCTGGGGGGGGGGGAGCATAAGGAAAAATGGCGCGAAGCCATGGATAAAGAGCTGAAAGCAACACCTGGAAGGTTGTTCCTATTGGCGTAGCACGGAACAAGACGATTCTCACCGGAAAGTGGGTCTTCCGCGTTAAGACAAGGGCTGACGGCACCATCGACAAGTTCAAAGCACGCTGGGTTGTACGCGGCTTCGACCAGGAACATGGACGTGATTTCACCGAGACATTCGCTCCAGTCAGCCGACACACCTCGCTGCGAATTCTCCTCGCGATCGCCGCCATGAAGAAAAGGAAGCTGCGGCAAATTGACGTCGCCAACGCATTCCTCTACGCACCCGTCGATGCAGAAATCTTTGTCGAGCTACCGCACGTCTCCAACGGAGAGCCTAATCAAGTCTGTCAGCTGCTGAAGTCGCTCTATGGCATCAAACAAGCCCTGAGGCTGTGGCAGCAGTACATGGACGCAAGACTCATCCGGATCGGATTCCGCCAACTACCTCACGACCAAGGCATGTACCGACTCACAAAGGGCACCGATTACATCTTGCTAATCGTCTACGTAGATGATTTGCTCTACATCGGCTCAACGGACAGCGTCACTACCTGGTTCGAAGGGGAGCTGCAGCAAGACCATACGCTCACAGTCTCATCTACCGTCACGCAATATCTCGGGCTCAACATACGGGAAGAGGAGGACGCGATCTACCTCAGCGCCGCGAAATACGCCAATACCATTGCCAAGCGCTTCGCACTCACACCGACCGTCATCTCCACGCCATACCACTACACCGTAGGAAACCACAAGGAAAGCTCCGCTCTACTCAAGCCCGCTGGCATGTGCGACTACCAAAGAAAGCTGGGATGCCTCCTCTTCGCAGCTGTCACCTGCCGCCCGGACCTATCGTACTCTGCAAGCCAGCTCGCCACCTACCTCAAGAAACCCGAAGCGGAACATCTGGCGGAGCTCGACCGCGCTCTTCACTACCTCGTCAGCACCCCGACAATCGGCCTAACCTACCATAAGAACACAACTATAACGCCTAAGCTAATCGGGTACGTCGACGCCGATCACGCCGGCGACTCTGACAACAGGCGCTCCCGCACCGGCTATATCTACAGCTTCGAGCCTATCGGTCCTATCTCCTGGCAGTCGAGCAAACAGGAATTAATCGCCCTCTCTTCAGCTAAAGCAGAATATATCGCACTCTGCTTGGCCACCAAGGAAGGGCTGTACCTTCGCGAACTCCTGGAGGAAGCCAAGCTAGCCCAGTTACCAAACTTTACCCTGTTCTGCGACAACCAGTCGGCCATTCACATAGCCAACAAGAACGGCTTCGCGAACAGGACGAACACATCGCCTTGCGATACTTCTTCGTGAAGGATGAGATCGAGAAGGGGAAACTCGAACTGTCATACTGCCCCACGTCCAAAATGGCAGCTGACTACTTGACCAAGAAACTTGGAAAGCAAAAGTTCGAGTACTGCATGCTGCTGACTGGACAGAGCCACGTCACCAACAGCGACACTCCAGAAGCGAAGGGGAGTGTTGGAAGCAATTAACTATAAGCGCCTTTGTCGTGTCGAAACTCCAAGACACAAGTGAAGCAAAACACTATCGAAGCACCAGCGAGTCAACCCTCGGAGGTTGAAGTAACTGTCGGAGGTTACGCGAAAGTCAAAGGTCAGCGACCTTTGACCTGACAAGTACAGCGCGACAGCAAGGACACACAACTGACTCGTTACAGAGCAGTTGCCCGAGTCGTGACTGTATCGAAGCGCAACAGCAACAGTAATTTGATTATAACTGTGTCTTTTCATATTCCCTGTATTCATATATAATCTTGTATCTCTTTGTTTTAATCAATCAACTTTGCCCTCACATACTAGCGCAAGGTGGTTCACAACTCTTCATTAAACGCTTCCGCTACTACATCAGTTATACCCAGAGTTCACCCCCGCAAGGGCTATTTTCCCAGCCCAACAAGGACTACCTAGAACCCTGATTAGAAAGGGTGGCCCAAAACCAATCGAGAGCCCTGCTTGCTACCGGTACTCGTAACACGTAGTCACCAACATAGAATACCGATCCGTGTGTTCAGAAATTCCATATATCTTCACACTGACAAGGAAGAAATGGAAGGGTCTGGCTGGTAGAAAGTAGTTTCCAGAACGGCGAGTACAGAATAATTCTCATTTGTCCCTGAACCAAGTACGGTACCACACCAGGAAAAAACTTACAATCACGCAAATCCAGTAAAGCATGCAGTGGTATTGCATGGGGCAAATGGAAATGTGTTTGGTGCTATCATGGATTCAGTGGTGAGAACAAAGGGCTTATGGTAGGGCCCATGCTTGAAATCAACTTCAATAAACAGTGCTCGATACCCCACCTGTGCACAGGAGCGCGGGGGAGAGAACAGACGAAAAATGGTGAAATAAGGTTACCGGTATGAACGTGGTGATAAGATGGTTGAACACATCAAAGAAGCATCCAATTGGTGCGGTGCTGACAATGGAAAATGCGCCTCGCACTGGGGAGGCATTTGAAATGGTAAACAGAAAAGTAGAGCATCAAATGTTGGTAACTTAGGGGAACCAGCTTGAAAGACCACTACAGCTGGGAAAGCCATTACAGCTGGGAAAGCCACTACAGCTGGGAAACAGGGCTCTTGCTAGGATCTGAGGGCGTCTGATTCTGTCAGACGGGTCCCCCAGGCAAAACAATTGTTTTGTCTGATCTAGATTGGAAAATCAGATGGATATAAAAAAATGAGTCTGAAAATCAGACCATCAGACCAAAATGGTCTGATAACGAGAGCCCTGCTGGGAAAGCAACTACAGCTGGGAAAGCAACTACAGCTGGGAAAGCAACTACAGCTGGGAAAGCAACTACAGCTGGGAAAGCAACTACAGCTGGGAAAGCAACTACAGCTGGGAAAGCAACTACAGCTGGGAAAGCAACTACAGCTGGGAAAGCAACTACAGCTGGGAAAGCAACTACAGCTGGGAAAGCAACTACAGCTGGGAAAGCCACTGCAGCTGGGAAAGCCACTGCAGCTGGGAAAGCAACTACAGCTGGGAAAGCCACTGCAGCTGGGAAAGCAGCTACAGCTGGGAAAGCAACTACAGCTGGGAAAGCCACTACAGCTGGGAAAGCCACTACAGCCGGGAAAGACACTACAGCTGGGAAAGCCACTATAGCTGGGAAAGCCACTACGGCTGGGAAAGCCAGCGAAAGTGCAACGCAGTCACTGCTGAAGCACAACATCACATGCTGCTCCTCCTTTATAGGAACATTCCTTGTCCAGTCACAGTTGACTCAAAAAAGGAGATTCCCCATAAGAGGAGTACCACATCTCAATACTTGTTTGAACTTTGCCACACTTAATGAAATAATTCATTCAACAGTTCAACAATGATACACTTCAGAACACTTCATTATGACAAGTCACCACACTCAGTTCAACCACGCTTCATCCCACACACGCACCTTGGGAATGTCTTTGACCGACGAGCTGAAGTGCCAGAGCCCGTCAGGCTGCAGTGCGGGCGGCGAGACGGCGTGCAGGAGGAACGGGATGGGCTGCACACAGAGGGTGCCGAACTTGGCAATGTAGACATCCGAGCTCTTGAAGGGCACCATGCTGCCGAGGACAAGGGCACCGGGGTGGAGGGAAAGCGAGGAAAATAATAGTTAGTGGAGATAAATGGAGAGGTAAGGGCAGGGGAAGGAACCATTTTCTCACTCAGTAGTGAACACACACAGACAGGTTTGTTACCAAGTGCAACAGCACATGCACATGAACAGCAAGCAGAGTCACAACAATGAGGGCCCTGCACTCACCACCCTACCACCTCCCCTCCCTGCACTCACCACCCTACCACCTCCCCTCCCTGCACTCACCACCCTACCACCTTCCCCTGCACTCACCACCCTACCACCTTCCCCTGCACTCACCACCCTACCACCTCCCCTCCCTGCACTCACCACCCTACCACCTTCCCCTGCACTCACCACCCTACCACCTTCCCCTGCACTCACCACCCTACCACCTTCCCCTGCACTCACCACCCTACCACCTTCCCCTGCACTCACCACCCTACCACCTTCCCCTGCACTCACCACCCAGCCACCTCCCTTCCCCTGCATGGCACTCACCACCCGGCGAGCCCTTGCTTCACGATGAGCCGGAAGTCCCGCCGCTTGCTGCCCGGCCTCGTGCGCCCAGTCCTGCATCCGGGGAGAGAGAGGCATGGAAAGGCGAAGTTGGGGTGGGGTAAATCGCGGGGGAGGGGAAGAGGAAGGGGGGGAGGGAGGAAGGAATGATATGGTGTGACTCACAGCAATGCGAGAGCCAGCTAGGGGGGTGAGAGCACGAGTTGCAGCGCAGAGGCGGTTCCTTACATCACTCTCATCAAGCCACCAGCCCCTTTTTCCACGCATCCCGTCACTCCTTGTTCTATGCAGCCCCTTGCATTACTGCGAGCCAGAAGCATTGACGAGCAGACTAGAGAAGGCCGGGGCCTGTGGAACAATTGACGTGCCTTGCAGTCAAGCCAGCATCCCTATCTTTCCCCAACCTGCAGGCAAGTGCTTTGGAGATTCCAGAAACGTCACTTGAAACGCATTCAGTCAACTCTCCTTGATCTCTGACAGCCCTGCACCTTCCATTCCCACCACCGCTTCTTTGCACCCCTCCACGTATCCATTCCCCCCCTATCCCCCCTCCCCATCCCCATCCTCCATCACCCTACCCATCCCCCTCCCCCTCCCCCTCACCATGCTCTAACCGCCAACGGCTTCCTGTCTGACGTGGCATGGATGGTGAACGTGGACCAATCAAACCGCCACCTCAGCTGAGGCCAGTCGACAGCTGGCATCTCTGGTACACAGCCCCAAGGGGGGGACTGCACTGCTGCCACTGCTGCTGCTGCCTCTGCGTCTGGGAGACTGGAAGGCTGAGAGCTGTGAGGGTTGTGGGGGGTTTGAGGGGAAGGGGAGTCTGACGAGATGGAGGTGGTGTGGGGAGTGAGGGAGGAGGGGGTGGGGTTGGTGGGGCTCGTCCAGGTGAGGGAGGGGCGGGAGGAGGCGGGGCGAGAGGCGCAGGAGGAGTTGACGTGCAGGAGAGAGGTGAGGAAGGAGCCGGTCGCATCGTAGACCTGAAAGGTTGGGTGGTAGGAGACAGGGAAATCAGAGAAGGGGAGGGGGTGTCAACGGGGAGGGGGGTGTCAACGGGGAGGGGGGTGTCAACGGGGAGGGGGTGTCAACGGGGAGGGGTTGTAGAAGGCAAGGGGATAAGCGAGGGGGTTGAGGTGGGAGGCGACAGGAGAATAGGGGTGAGAAGAAAAAGGAGAGGGAGGCACCCTAAGTGTGCAGTATGAGGGGGACTGGGGGTGAGGGAGGGGGGAGGATGAGGGGGGAGGATGAGGGGGGAGGATGAGGGGGGAGGATGAGGGGGGATTTCAAAAGAGAGGGGACAAAAGGAGGGGACAGGGACGGCCTCATCAGAACCAGGAAGAGGGTGAGGCAGAAGGGGGTGAGGGAGAAGGGGGTGAGGCAGAAGGGGGTGAGGCAGAAGGGGGGGTGAGGCAGAAGGGGGTGAGGCAGAAGGGGGTGAGGCAGAAGGGGGTGAGGCAGAAGGGGGTGAGGCAGAAGGGGGTGAGGCAGAAGGGGGTGAGGCAGAAGGGGGTGAGGCAGAAGGGGGTGAGGCAGAAGGGGGTGAGGCAGAAGGGGGTGAGGCAGAAGGGGGTGAGGCAGAAGGGGGTGAGGCAGAAGGGGGTGAGGCAGAAGGGGGTGAGGCAGAAGGGGGTGAGGCAGAAGGGGGTGAGGCAGAAGGGGGTGAGGCAGAAGGGGGTGAGGCAGAAGGGGGTGAGGCAGAAGGGGGTGAGGCAGAAGGGGGTGAGGCAGAAGGGGGTGAGGCAGAAGGGGGTGAGGCAGAAGGGGGTGAGGCAGAAGGGGGTGAGGCAGAAGGGGGTGAGGCAGAAGGGGGTGAGGCAGAAGGGGGTGAGGCAGAAGGGGGTGAGGCAGAAGGGGGTGAGGCAGAAGGGGGTGAGGCAGAAGGGGGTGAGGCAGAAGGGGGTGAGGCAGAAGGGGGTGAGGCAGAAGGGGGTGAGGCAGAAGGGGGTGAGGCAGAAGGGGGTGAGGGAGGGGAAAACCATGGGCGCAGGAAGAACAGAAAAAGCATGGGTGGAGATTTGCGGAGTATGCAACGAGCCAATGAGCAGTGCCAGCAGCAGCTAATGGCAGCAGAGGAGAGGCAGGATGTGTCCTTTCAGATGTCCGACTGACCACAGGCAGAAAGAAGGGCGGCGAGGGTGAGAAGGAAGGGCGGCGAGGGTGAGAAGGAAGGGCGGCGAGGGTGAGAAGGAAGGGCGGCGAGGGTGAGAAGGAAGGGCGGCGAGGGTGAGAAGGAAGGGCGGCAAGGTTGAGAAGGCAGGGCGGCGAGGCTGAGGCGAAAGGACGGCGAGGGTGAGATGGAGTTAGCGGCGATGATGGGTGGGGAATGGAGAAAAACGACCACGAATGAAGGCGAGAATGGCGTAGGAGTAAAGGGGGAGGGAGAGGGATTGGGGGAGCGAAGAGGAAAAACGGAGGACCATTCCTACTGCAACACCTGAACGAGTTCTCTGAGAAGTCCAAATTTCGAGTTCTATTGCTGTGAGAGAGAAGAGCATTGAAGGGTAAGGCTGTACCCAGTGGGAGAGAAGAAGGATGGAGGGCAAGGCGAGGCGGTACGTACCCAGTAGGACTTCTGAATGACCATGTGGTCCAGGTTGGCCACGATCTTGAACAGCGTGGGCGGTGGCAGGTCGTTGAAATAGAAGTACCTGCCAGGGCCGGGCGCACCCACGAGGGGATCGGGAAGGCATGTACATACTTACAGTCATCTTCTGCGGAGAGTACTCGTATTAGCGAGAGGATGCGAGGAGGCTGAAACACACACACTTTGTAACACACATGTGTTAAAACACTAAGAAACAAAGCAGCAAGCAGCTGCTACCATTTAGCCTGGGGACGTGCACAAGTGCCGTGACATTGGGCACTCACGAGTCGTCCATGGGGCAGCAAGCAGCGACTCACGAGTCATCCATGAAGAAGAATTCGTCATTGGAGGCGGAGATGAGCAGCTTGGGCATGGTCAGGCGCTCCCTGAAGAAGTACGGGTCCGTGTAGCTCTGTGGGGGGGGGGGAGGGGGGCGTTAAAGTGGGAGGGGGGTGGTTGGAGGGGTTGGGGGAGGTTGGTTTAAAAAGCTCGTTCAGGCTCTTGGAAATGAGCAGCTTCGGCATGGTGGGGCGCCTCCTGAAGAAGCACGTAGCTCTGTTGAGGGGGTGGGGACAAGGGGGAACGGAGGGGGCTATTTTCGAGAAAAGAGCAGTTAGCCAAGGTAGCTGCAAGTGCACTGCCTGCGGCATGATTGCCCTGTGGCATGAGTGCCCTGCGACAGCTTGCCAGCCAGAACCACGTGTTATCTGTCAAGCAGGTACGGAGTTAAGGCAAAGGGCTTTGAGAAATCTCATACGCATGCTCCCCGTGCTCTATCTACTGTCTCCTCCTGCCCGCCACCGGCTGACTGCAGAGCTGCCCCTTCGTGGCTTTAACTGATGTTCGCATTCCAGGCAGTCATGACATCACTCAGTCTATGCATTGCACACAGTCATGACATCACTCAGTCTATGCATCGCACACAGTCATGACATCCCTCAGTCTATGCATCGCACACAGTCATGACATCACTCAGTCTATGCATCGCACACAGTCATGACATCACTCAGCCTATGCATCGCACACAGTCATGACATCACTCAGTCTATGCATCGCACACAGTCATGACATCACTCAGTCTATGCATCGCACACAGTCATGACATCACTCAGTCTATGCATCGCACACAGTCATGACATCCCTCAGTCTATGCATCGCACACAGTCATGACATCACTCAGTCTATGCATCGCACACAGTCATGACATCACTCAGTCTATGCATCGCACACAGTCATGACATCACTCAGTCTATGCATCGCACACAGTCCTGACATCACTCAGTCTATGCATCGCACACAGTCATGACATCACTCAGTCTATGCATCGCACACAGTCCTGACATCACTCAGTCTATGCATCGCACACAGTCATGACATCACTCAGTCTATGCATCGCACACAGTCATGACATCACTCAGTCTATGCATCGCACACAGTCCTGACATCACTCAGTCTATGCATCACACACAGTCATGACATCACTCAGTCTATGCATCGCACACAGTCATGACATCACTCAGTCTATGCATCGCACACAGTCCTGACATCACTCAGTCTATGCATCGCACACAGTCATGACATCACTCAGTCTATGCATCGCACACAGTCATGACATCACTCAGTCTATGCATCGCACACAGTCATGACATCACTCAGTCTATGCATCACACACAGTCATGACATCACTCAGTCTATGCATCGCACACAGTCATGACATCACTCAGTCTATGCATCGCACACAGTCATGACATCACTCAGTCTATGTATCGCACACAGTCATGACATCCCTCAGTCTATGCATCGCACACAGTCATGACATCACTCAGTCTATGCATCGCACACAGTCATGACATCACTCAGTCTATGCATCGCACACAGTCATGACATCACTCAGTCTATGCATCGCACACAGTCATGACATCACTCAGTCTATGCATCGCACACAGTCATGACATCACTCAGTCTATGTATCGCACACAGTCATGACATCACTCAGCCTATGCATCGCACACAGTCATGACATCACTCAGTCTATGCATCGCACACAGTCATGACATCACTCAGTCTATGCATCGCACACAGTCATGACATCACTCAGTCTATGCATCGCACACAGTCATGACATCACTCAGTCTATGCATCGCACACAGTCATGACATCACTCAGTCTATGTATCGCACACAGTCATGACATCACTCAGTCTATGCATCGCACACAGTCATGACATCACTCAGTCTATGCATCGCACACAGTCCTGACATCACTCAGTCTATGCATCGCACACAGTCCTGACATCACTCAGTCTATGCATCGCACACAGTCATGACATCACTCAGTCTATGCATCGCACACAGTCATGACATCACTCAGTCTATGCATCGCACACAGTCATGACATCACTCAGTCTATGTATCGCACACAGTCATGACATCACTCAGTCTATGCATCGCACACAGTCATGACATCACTCAGTCTATGCATCGCACACAGTCCTGACATCACTCAGTCTATGCATCGCACACAGTCCTGACATCACTCAGTCTATGCATCGCACACAGTCATGACATCACTCAGTCTATGCATCGCACACAGTCATGACATCACTCAGTCTATGCATCGCACACAGTCATGACATCACTCAGCCTATGCATCGCACACAGTCATGACATCACTCAGTCTATGCATCGCACACAGTCATGACATCACTCAGCCTATGCATCGCACACAGTCATGACTTCACTCAGTCTATGTATCGCACACAGTCATGACATCACTCAGTCTATGCATCGCACACAGTCATGACATCACTCAGTCTATGCATCGCACACAGTCATGACATCACTCAGTCTATGCATCGCACACAGTCATGACATCACTCAGTCTATGCATCGCACACAGTCATGACATCACTCAGTCTATGCATCGCACACAGTCATGACATCACTCAGTCTATGCATCGCACACAGTCATGACATAACTCAGCCTATGCATCGCACACAGTCATGACATCACTCAGTCTATGCATCGCACACAGTCATGACATCACTCAGTCTATGCATCGCACACAGTCATGACATCACTCAGTCTATGCATCGCACACAGTCATGACATAACTCAGCCTATGCATCGCACACAGTCATGACATCACTCAGTCTATGCATCGCACACAGTCATGACATCACTCAGTCTATGCATCGCACACAGTCATGACATCACTCAGTCTATGCATCGCACACAGTCATGACATCACTCAGCCTATGCATCGCACACAGTCATGACATCACTCAGTCTATGCATCGCACACAGTCATGACATCACTCAGTCTATGCATCGCACACAGTCATGACATCACTCAGTCTATGCATCGCACACAGTCATGACATCACTCAGTCTATGCATCGCACACAGTCCTGACATCACTCAGTCTATGCATCGCACACAGTCATGACATCACTCAGCCTATGCATCGCACACAGTCATGACATCACTCAGTCTATGCATCGCACACAGTCATGACATCACTCAGTCTATGCATCGCACACAGTCATGACATCACTCAGTCTATGCATCGCACACAGTCATGACATCACTCAGTCTATGTATCGCACACAGTCATGACATCCCTCAGTCTATGCATCGCACACAGTCATGACATCACTCAGTCTATGCATCGCACACAGTCATGACATCACTCAGTCTATGCATCGCACACAGTCATGACATCACTCAGTCTATGCATCGCACACAGTCATGACATCACTCAGTCTATGCATCGCACACAGTCATGACATCACTCAGTCTATGCATCGCACACAGTCATGACATCACTCAGTCTATGCATCGCACACAGTCATGACATCACTCAGTCTATGTATCGCACACAGTCATGACATCACTCAGCCTATGCATCGCACACAGTCATGACATCACTCAGTCTATGCATCGCACACAGTCATGACATCACTCAGTCTATGTATCGCACACAGTCATGACATCACTCAGTCTATGCATCGCACACAGTCATGACATCACTCAGTCTATGCATCGCACACAGTCATGACATCACTCAGTCTATGTATCGCACACAGTCATGACATCACTCAGTCTATGCATCGCACACAGTCATGACATCACTCAGTCTATGCATCGCACACAGTCATGACATCACTCAGTCTATGCATCGCACACAGTCATGACATCACTCAGTCTATGCATCGCACACAGTCATGACATCACTCAGTCTATGCATCGCACACAGTCATGACATCACTCAGTCTATGTATCGCACACAGTCATGACATCACTCAGTCTATGCATCGCACACAGTCATGACATCACTCAGTCTATGCATCGCACACAGTCATGACATCACTCAGTCTATGCATCGCACACAGTCATGACATCACTCAGTCTATGCATCGCACACAGTCATGACATCACTCAGTCTATGCATCGCACACAGTCATGACATCACTCAGTCTATGCATCGCACACAGTCATGACATCACTCAGTCTATGCATCGCACACAGTCATGACATCACTCAGTCTATGCATCGCACACAGTCATGACATCACTCAGTCTATGCATCGCACACAGTCATGACATCACTCAGTCTATGTGTCGCACAGTCATGACATCACACTGCTGCCCTGTAATGGTGCCACTTCAAGCCCCTCAAGCACTTTCCAACTGGAGTTCAAACCTCTTCCCCTTCCTCCCTCACTCTTCCTCCCTCCCTCCCTCTTCCTCCCTCCCTCGTCCTCCCTCCCTCGTCCTCCCTCCCTCTTCCCCCCCCCCTCCCTCCCGCCATTACTCTCCTCCTCCCTCCCTCTTCCTCCCTCCCTCCCTCTTCCTCCCTCCCTCGTCCTCCCTCCCTCGTCCTCCCTCCCTCTTCCCCCCCCCCCTCCCTCCCGCCATTACTCTCCTCCTCCCGCCCACTCTAGACCTGGACCCAACCCAAACCCTAAGCCAAAACCCCAAACCTCAGGCGTACCAGAAGGGGGGGCAGCAGGGGCGAGTGCAGGAAGTGCGTGAGGTTGTAGTCCACATAGAAGCGCCCCAGGATGGGCACGGCGCCCACCGAGTCGAGCAGATGCTGCAGGTTGGGCTGGAGGTTGATGAGATCATAGCCGTACGCTATGAAGGCCACCACTCGCTGTGGCGAGAGACAGGGAGAGAGAAAGAGGCAGCGTGGGAGGAGGGATGGAGGTGGTAGGGTTGGGGTGAGTGCTGGCAACAGGTGTGAGGTGGTGCATGGTGGGATCAAAGTTGACGTGATGGTAGCTGTGCAAGATGACGGCCACTACAGCACAAGATGAAGGCACACCACAGCACAAGATGACGGCCACTACAGCACAAGATGACGGCCATTACAACACAAGATGACGGCCACTACAACACAAGATGACGGCCACTACAGCACAAGATGACGGCCACTACAGCACAAGATGACGGCCACTACAGCACAAGATGACGGCCACTACAGCACTCGCTGCAGCGAGCAAGGGGGAGATAGAGAGGCAGAGTAGGAGGCAGGAGGGAAGGAGTACAGCTTGGGTGTTGGGGACCAGCTGGGTATGTAGAGGGGAAGAGAGAGGGAGGGACAGAGAGAGGGAGGGACAGAGAGGAGGGGCAGAGAGAGGGAGGGACAGAGAGAGAGGGACAGAGAGAGGGAGGGAGCATACTGAGGGCAGCGGAAAGAAGATGCGGAAAGGAGGAGATGCATTGTGAAAGCCAATACACAAAGGCACATTCAATTTCAGCTGAAAAAAAAAAACACAAACTGTAAATAAAAAAAAACAAAACAAAAAAAGAGGAAGTACATGCAGAATAAAGAAAGGAGGAGGACGTGCCTTATCAAGAGCTGCAGAGAGCCACGCCATGTGCGCACGCTTGCTCACTCCGACACTCACGAAGGCCTCCACCTGGTGGAGGGAGGGAGAATGGAGAATGGGGCACGCAAGGGATACGCATAGGGGATGGCAAGAGAGAGTGGCATGGAGTGAGGTGGAGGAGCGAGAAACTGCGCCACGTGTCATTCATCCATCACCCATCCCATCCATCACCCATCCCATCCATCACCCATCCCAACCATCCATCATCCCAACCAACACCCATCCCAACCATCACCCATCCATAACTCTCATGCCTCAATGCATGCACTCCAGCTGCCAGCATCCATCATCCATGACTCATCATCCACCACCCATCATCCATGAATCATGCAGAAATATTAGTCTTGTAGCCGGCCATTGCAGTAATATCAGATCAACTGAAAGTCCAATAGATCCCCACTTGGGAGACATGACTTTGCATGGCGGCAGCTTAGTTTATATAAGAGATCTGTTTGTAGTAGGCCTGCTTAGAAACAACCATTTGCGTAGCAATTGGTGGTAACTAGTTTCGGCCTTCTTCAGACCACAAAGGCAACAATGAAAGCAAGCACCCTAAAAATACCGATCCCGAGGTTTCAGCGCAAGGCATTCCTTTGCAAGGCTGGGATGGCAGGGAAAAGTTCCAGTAAAAAATGAACAATAATTTCACGGGCACATGCAGCAGCAGCTCTCTAGCAGCGATGGGCATGGCGTTCAGGGTGCGGATGATGACTTGGCCATGGGTATAAAGGGGCATCTAGATGGGCATGTGGATGGGCCACTCGGGAAGCGGAGAGACGTGAAGGGACCTGGCAGTACCTACCCAGTACCCCTGCAAGCAGCGGCACTCACGGGCACATGTGGAAGCATCTGTCTTGCAGCAAGCTGCACGGCATCCATGGCGCGGACTATGGACTTGGCCATGGGCATGAAGATGGGCCACTCGGGCGTGCTGGGGTCATACAGTGCCATGCCCATGGTGACTGGTGGACGAGGTGTGCGGAGGGTGAGGGGCGAGGAGGGGGATTGGGCGAGAGTAGGAAGGTGAAATCCTGGGTCAGCGCTCATATCCCCACATCCACTCATATCTGTTGATTGTGTAGGTGTGGTATTTTGCTCTAGCTGGTTGTGGGCTAAGGGTTTGGGCAAAATGTGCTTGTTAGACTTGTTGCGGGCTGGAATTGATCTCGCACCCAACAAGCACCAACAAACATTTGTTATTCACTACAACACTTTTGGTGTTGATAGTTTAACACTTTGGGTTGTTTGGGATTGTTGTAGGGCGAGGGTTGGGTTGGTCGAGTTTGAACAACTTGTCACTTTGCAGATCTGAACTCTTGATAAAGCTACTCTCTTGATCTAATCCATGGTTGTCAAGCAATTTCGCCAGGATACCCCATCGCACTTAAATTGCGATAGCGATCGGCCTAGATCTTGGTTGAAGGCGTGCGTTACCATTCTGGAAAGTAGATATTAAGCCATTTCCAACGCGTACCTGCTCATAGTTTAAGGTTACGTGAGTTGCACGCAATGTTCCGTCGAAGTCGACGGACTTAATCTCTTGTTACGCTCTTTAGATTCGCTCGCTTTCCATTAAAGGTATCAGAGCTGGTTAGGCCTGCGACATTCCCTCTTTTCATCACATTCCTAATTGGCTTAAGAACCTCCACATCTAGTGTTGGTTATGACCCTGAAACTAGATGGACCTCCTAGGTTCACCGGCTCGGATTTTTCGCTATAGGGATTCCAGTTTATGCTTTGGCTATGTATTAAAGACCTAGAGGGCGTTTAGGAGGGATCGGAGCGAAGATCTGAAGCTGATGAAGGAAAGGCATCTGCTGGAGTCTCTAGCCAAGAGGGAGAAGGGGCTGGAGGAGCCTCTAGTTCATCTATAAGTAAGGTAAGTGGAGGAGGATCAGCATCACCGCGAACCGGAAGGCAACGGCTTAGTGTGGAGGAGCTACTTAAGGCACAGAAAGCATGGGACCGCAAGGACAAGCAAGCGTTCCAGTGCCTATGTTGGGCTTTTGAAGGCCAATTAGAGCTCCTAAAAATGGTGATTGACCTGAAGGGCAAGCAAGGAGCAGCTGCACTAGCATGGAAGAGAGTTCAATATCGTCATTTGCAAAAAAGGTTGCTAAACATACTCACCTCGAAGTAGCGGTTCTACACCATGGAACGCAACTATGGCGATGGGGAGACCATGGTGCAGTACCTCCAGATAGGGATGAGCAAAATGGCGAACTTGCTTTCCATTTTTTGGTTTAAATGTTCGCCCGAACATGTTCGGGTTCGACCCGAACTTGTTCGCACGTTCGTGGCGCGCGCATGTCTAGTGCCTGAACATCGAACATGTTCGGGCATCGAACCCGTTCTCCCAAACATTTTGATGTTCGGGATGATTCCAGCTCGATAAGGTCGCGCTGGTTGGTTACAAAAAGGACGGGAAGAGCAGATCGAGCTGTTTCTCAGCTCAATCTACTTTTCCTAGGGTTGATCTAGCCTAAGCGCCACCCAACGTACCTTCCTATACTAAATCGCCCACACCAACTGTTAGTTAGGCACCAATGGGGTGTTAAGGCCGTTATTTAGGGTTATACTAGCAGGTTTTGGTTTAAGTTATGCTATGCCTTGTTGTCAGTGCTCCTCTTCACGGCTCTGAAACACCCGTTCCATGGTTTAAGGGTGGGTACAAGGGGTGGGACGGTAAAGTAATGAGCATCCATTTCCCATTGGGAGCTCAGAACCCCTAAAACAAAAGCAGGTCCCCCCCCCCCCCCCCCCCCCCCGCCCCCCCCCCCTGCAGTGGGCGAACCCGAACATGTTCGGGTTCGCCCGAACATCTCTGATGTTCGGCCCCCTTTAGTAGGTTCGGCCCCCTTTAGTAGGTTCGCCCACAGTGGGCGAACCTCGAACATAAGATTTCAGTAAAAAGTGTTTGGGCGAACCGAACAAGTTCGGTTCGCCCACTGAGTGTGTTCGTTACAGTTCAGACGAACATGTGAGTATGTGAGGGCATTGGAGGAGCTGAACTATGAAGTAGATGAGAAGGAGATTCTTTGCACCGCACTCCAGGGGCTGGACCAAGAGGCGAACGAGGCCCTACTGCAGTACCTTCACATTGAGCAGCAGAAATGAACCAAGGCCTGGACTTGGGAGGTGTTGATTTATGATGAGGCTCGCAAGCGTGATGCTAGGGATGAGCAAGGTGGCAAACACCTGTTCGGTTCGCCTCGAACGTGTTCGAGGCGAACCGGACAGGTTTTGTTTTTTAGCTCAAATCGTTCGCCGAACAGTGTTCGATGTTCGCCCGAACACGTTCGTGTTCGGGCCGCTGCTGAAATTTGCCCGCGACGAACACGAACGTGTTCGAGGTTCGCCCGAACACGCCTCCACAGGCGAACAGCGAACACCTATTTTTTCCTAAACTGTTCGCCGAACCGAACACTGTTCGGTTCGGCAAAAGAGGGTGTTCGACAAGGGGCGAAGACGAACATGTTCGTGTTCGCCCTTTGCTCATCCCTAGGTGGAGCTGTGATGATGGAGGCAAAGTTAGAGAAGGGTCTATACCTTGTTCCAGTTTGTGTGCCTCAGATGGAGAGGGCACGTGGTGTTGAAGCCGAGGAAGCTGTTTGTAGCACCCGTTGGAGGGACGTGGAGCAGGTGACAGCAAATTTGCTACATCTACGCATGAGGCATGCGGGAAGGCAGCAACTTGTGGAGTGTGTGAAGAAGGGGGAGCTGAGAGGTGTGGAGATCAAGGAGGGTGGTGGGCAGCCAAGCAAGTGCCCTAATTGCACGACCGGGAAGCTGCGAAGGACCTCCTTCCCTGCCCCCACCACTAAAGCCTCCGCACCTCTTGAGTTGGTGCACATGGATGCATGTGGCCCCATGCAAACACCGGATAGGGAGAATGGCAGCAAATACTTCATCATTTTCTTGGATGACTTCAGCCGCCTAGGTTGGGTTATCTTGGTGAAAACCAAGGATGAGGTGGTCAAGGTCTTGAAGCGTTGGATACGCTATGCGGAAAGGGAAGCCGGGGCGAAGGTGAAAATACTAAGGTCTGATTAGAGTGGGGAGTACATGGGGAAGGATCTTAAGTCTTTCCTTGAAAACAAGGGCATCACCCACCAGCTTTCAGTTGCCTACATGCCACAGCAAAATGGGGCAGCGGAGCAGCTAAACCGGACCCACATTGACCTTGCCCGAGCCATGCTTGCTCATGCGTAGCTGGACCATACTTGGTGGGGGGCAGCAGTGCAATATGCCAACTGGGTTAAGAACAGAATGGGCAGCAAGGGGCTAGGGGGCAAGAGCTCTTACTTCATGTGGAACAGTAAGGTGCCTAGTGTGTCCATAACACGAGTGTGGGGGTGCACGGCGCAGCAGAGGAAGTTGGATCTTCTTAAGGCACAACGGGGCATTTTTCTTGGGGTGTCGGAGAGGAGCAAAGCTTGGATGTTGTGAAGTGTGGCGGATCAGCGGGTGGTGGAAAGCAGGGATGTGGTTTTCCACAAGGCGCTGAGTTACAAGGGGTGGAAGGAGCATGGTGCTAGTACAGTTGGGAGCTCCCTTCAGGATCCCTACATCTTTTCCATCTTTGAGGGAGCATGGGAGGACACTGGAGAGGAAGTAGAGGAGCAGGAAGAGGAAAAAAAGGCAGCTGCACCTCACCATGAGGAGTCACCAACTGCTGGTTCTACCCATGAACCTAACGCACCAGCCCATGACCCGGAGCGGCCACAAGGGCAACAGCAGCAACAAGAAAAGCTGCAGCAATTTCCACAAGAGCATACACTGCCTGTTCCTGTGGTTAGGTGGCAGCAACTATTGGAGCAGCAGCTATCCAAGTGAGTGACTTGGAAGGAGAAGCTACAAGCTTTGGAGCAGGGGGAGACATCACCTCTGCGCCGCACCACACGCATCTCCCGGCCACCTGACAGGTTCACACCAAGTGCACAGTATGTTTGCATGCATGATCATGAGGTGCATGATTTGGAGGAGTGCATGCTTGTGGATGCTGAGGGGGGTGAGCTTGGGCTTGATTTCTGTCTCATGTGTCAGGTGCATGAGCCTAAGTCGGTCAAGGAGGCCTTGTCCTGTCCTGAGTGGGTCGAGTCCATGCGTGAGGAGCTTGAGTTTCATAGGGTGAACGAGTCTTTTGAGCTGGTTGATCCAGCTTGTGTGCCACCTGGAATGGAGGTCTTGAGGTGTCAGTGGGTATGGAAGTGTAAGCACATGGCTCATGAGAGTATTGAGAAGCCTAAGTCCAGGTTGGTGGCCATGGGGAACACTCAAACACGAGGCGTTCACTATGACCAGGTATATACCCCGGTGGGTAAACCTACCACCCTGAGAGGTCCCCGTGGCATGGCAGCATCTTCGAGGTTTCACATCCATCATATGGATATGACCACTGCCTATCTCCATGGGGTCTTGAAGGAGGAGCTTTACATGAGGCAGCCCCCTGGTTTTGATGATGGATCCGGCAGGGTTTGCCGACTCAAAAAGTCAATCTATGGGCTAAAGCAAGCTCCAAGGCAGTGGTACCTCAAATTTGATGAGGCGCTGATGGATTTTGGCTTTGAGAGGTCGGGGTGTGACCCCGGCTTGTACCACTTGGTGAGGCGTGAGGGCAGGCTATCCCTCTACCTCTGTAGATGACATTCTGCTCATGTCTTTGAGCATGGTTTTGCTGGACGAGGTGAAGAGTCTCTTGTCCTCTCGTTTCCGCATGAAGGACTTGGGGGAGGCTAAGTACTATGTGGAGGTGCAGATTGAGCGTGATGAGAGTGGCATCTTGATTCATCAGGAGAGGTACATTCTCAACATGCTTGAGTCCTTTGGCCTTTCTGAGGCTAACCCCGTGCGTACCCCTCTCTCTACAAGATTCGACATGCATGCACATGCTGAGGAGCCCTTGCTGCGAGATGAGTTGGTCTAGCTCTATCAAAGCATTGTGGGGTCTTTTATGTATGCAAGCACGACCACACAGCCCCAGATTGTTTATGCAATGTCACAGCTGTCCAAGGTGGTGTCTTGTTCCAAGGCATTCCACCTGCAGGCTGCTAAGAGAGTGCTAAGGTACCTGAAAGGTTGTGCCAAGTCAGGTATCTTCTACCCCGCACACAGCAAGCCTCAAGTTGAGTTGGTGGGCATTAGTGATGCTGATTATGCTGGAGATTCAGCTAATCGCAAGAGTCACACCGGCTATGTCTATTGCCTTAATGGTGCAGCCATCTCTTGGCAGAGCAAGAGGCAGCCGGTGGTTGCATTGTCCACCACTGAGAGTGAGCACATCAGTCTATGTCAATGCACTCAAGAGGGTGTGTGGCTGAAGCGTTGTTTCGGAAGTTTGGGCATGAGTTTGCTGATGGTGTGCCTGTGTTAGTGGACAACCAGTCTGCCATTGCCCTTGCACCGAATGCATGCTTGCACGGCCGCACCAAGCACATGGAGGTTCGGTGGCATTTCATCAGGGAGATGGTGGCAAGCGGCGAGGGGTGTGTGCATGTCCTTGATGGGGATGCAGCCCCATGTTGGCTGGTGCTTCTCTGCCTTGACGACACCATGCTGTGGATGGCGACCCTCCTTCGGCAAGAGGGAGTGGAGTAAAGGATTTTGCCTAGTAGTGTTCAACCACCTCCAGCACGAGCAAAAGGGAGTGTTGATTATGTAGATGGTTGTGGTATTTTGCTCTAGCTGGTTGTGCGCTAAGGGTTTGGGCACAATATGCTTGTTAGACTTGTTACGGGCTGGAATTGATCTCACACCCAACAAACATCAACAAACATTTGCTATTCACTACAACACATTTGGTGTTGCTAGTTTAGCACTTTGGGTTGTTGAGAATTGTTGTAGGACGAGGGTTGATTTGGTAGGGTTTGAACAACTCATCACTTTGCAGATCTGAACTCTTGCTAAAGCTACTCTCTTGATCCAATCCATGGCTGTCAAGCAATTTCGCCAGGATACCCTGTCGCACTTAAAACGCGATAGCGATCGGCCTAGGTCTTGGTTGAAGGCGTGCGTTACCATTCTGAAAAGTAGAGATTAAGCCCTTTCCGACGCGTACCTGCTCATAGTTTAAGATTATGTGAGTTGCACGCAATGTTCCGTCGAAGTCGGCGGACTTAATCTCTTGTTACACTCTCTAGATTCGCTCGCTTTCCATCAATACCCTCACATGCACTCATATTCTCTCACATGCACTCATATCCTCACATGCGCTCATATCCTCACATGCACTCATATCCTCACATGCGCTCATATCCTCACATGCACTCATATCCTCACATGCGCTCATATCCTCACATGCACACATATCCTCACATGCACTCATATCCTCACATGCACTCAAATCTTCACATACACTCATATCCTCACATGCACTCATATCCTCACATGCACTCATATCCTCACATGCACTTATATTCTCAGATGCACTCATATCCTCACATGCACTCATATCCTCACATGCACTCATATCCTCACATGCACTCAAATCCTCACATGCACTCATATCCTCACATGCACTCATATCCTCACATGCACTCATATCCTCACATGCACTCATATCCTCACATGCACTCATAACCTCACATGCACTCATATCCTCATATGCACTCATATCCTCACATGCACTCATATCCTCACATGCACTCATATCCTCACATGCACTCAAATCCTCACATGCACTCAAATCCTCACATGCACTCATATCCTTACATGCACTCATATCCTCATATGCACTCATATCCTCACATGCACTCATATCCTCACATGCATTCATATCCTCACATGCACTCATATCCTCGCATGCACTCATATCCTCACATGCACTTATATTCTCAGATGCACTCATATCCTCACATGCACTCATATCCTCACATGCACTCATATCCTCACATGCACTCAAATCCTCACATGCACTCATATCCTCACATGCACTCATATCCTCACATGCACTCATATCCTCACATGCACTCATATCCTCACATGCACTCATAACCTCACATGCACTCATATCCTCATATGCACTCATATCCTCACATGCACTCATATCCTCACATGCACTCATATCCTCACATGCACTCAAATCCTCACATGCACTCAAATCCTCACATGCACTCATATCCTTACATGCACTCATATCCTCATATGCACTCATATCCTCACATGCACTCATATCCTCACATGCATTCATATCCTCACATGCACTCATATCCTCGCATGCACTCATATCCTCACATGCACTCATATCCTCACATGCACTCATATCCTCACATGCACTCATATCCTCGCATGCACTCATATCCTCACATGCACTCATATCCTCGCATGCACTCATATCCTCACATGCACTCATATCCTCACATGCACTCATATCCTCACATGCACTCATATCCTCACATGCACTCATCTCCTCACATGCATTCATATCCTCACATGCACTCATATCCTCACATGCACTCATCTTAGGGATGAGCAAAGGGCGAACACGGACATGTTCGTGTTCGCCCCTTCTCGAACACGTCCTTTTGCCGAACCGAACAGTGTTCGGTTCGGCGAACAGTTTAGCCAAAAACAGGTGTTCGCTGTTCGCCTGTGGAAGCGTGTTCGGGCGAACCTCGAACACGTTCGTGTTCGACACGGGGCGTTTTGCAGCAGCGCCACGAACACGAACGTGTTCGGGCGAACATCGAACACGTTCGGGCGAACGATTTAAGCTGAAAAACAAAACCTGTTCGGTTCGCCTCGAACGTGTTCGAGGCGAACCGAACAGGTGTTCGCCACCTTGCTCAAGCCTAACTCATCTCCTCACATCACATGCACTCATCTGCTGTTGCTGCTGCTGCTGAACCCAGTGGGAGTACGGCACACTCTCGGGGGGCGGACTCCCCTACAGGCTGTCATCTCTTCCTCTCGCACATTCTACCTTTTGCTGCTGTTGCAGTGCAGCTGACACCCCGGGGGATACGGACACACTAGAGCATGACTCGCTTACAAGCTGCTGTCTCCTACTCGTGCAACTCTTTGCTTGCTCTGCTGCATCTCATGCCAGCGAGAAGGCACACATGCTACAGGCTGACGCCGTACAGGCTGGGGTCTGCTCCTCTATCAGCTCTTTGCTTCAGCTCTGCTGCTGACGCCAGGGGGAATTTGGCCGCGCTATAGGCCGACTTGCTTACAGGCTGTGATCTCCTCCTCCTGAAGCTCTTCACTCATGCTGCGGGTGACGCCAGGCGGGGCGACGTGGAAGGTGATGGGCATCATAGGCTGCTGGTGCACCATCACTCCCATCATGCCCAGATCCACCAGCAGCCTGCATGTGAAGTGAGCAAGGGAGGATGCATGCACGGGCACCAGGTGATTGATGGGCAAGGCCTGCGGTTGAGAATTCTCAAAAGAGACACCAATGTAGCATGACGGCATTGGGAGAGGGCGGGGAAGAAGGGAAGATGCAATGGGCACAAGGCTCATGGCCCTCCCGCTCACACCCCACCCGCTCACGCCCCTTCCGCTCACGCCCCTCCCACTCACGCTCCTCCCACTCACGCTCCTCCCACTAGCGCCCCTCCCACTCACGCTCCTCCCACTCACACTCCTCCCACTCACGCTCCTCCCACTCACGCCCCTCCCACTCCCGCCCGTCCCTGCCACTCACGGGGCAGCGACGTGGATGTAGACGTCGGTCGTATCGGGGATGGTGTAGCGCCGGTCGTCCCGGCCGTGGTCATTCCACCCCGCCCCAACGAACAACAACACGAGCCCCTTGCTGGCGCTTGACAAGTTGTCCGGCACCTGGGCGGGCGGGAGGAGCAAGCACAGCCACAAGGCATGCATTAAAGACTTCAGGCCTGGACGCCTCACCCCCCCGCAGCACATTAGATGGCACGCGGACCAAAGTGAGGAAGGGCATGCGGAACACTGCTGGCGTTAGGCGTGCCATCTGGAGCATGGGAGGTCCAGACGAAGGACAGCCTGCAGCCATTGAAGGTCAGTGCATTGAAGGTCACTGCATTGAAGGTCAGTGCATTTGAAGGTCACTGCATTGAAGGTCACTGCATTGAAGGTCAGTGCATTTGAAGGTCACTGCATTGAAGGTCAGTGCATTTGAAGGTCACTGCATTGAAGGTCAGTGCATTGAAGGTCACTGCATTGAAGGTCAGTGCATTGAAGGTCAGTGAATTGAAGGTCAATGCATTGAAGGTCAATGAATTGAAGGTCAATGCGATGAAGGTCAATGAATTGAAGGTCAATGCATTGAAGGTGAATGCCTTGAAGGTCAATGCATTGAAGGTCAACGCATTGAAGGTCAATGCATTGAAGGTCAACGCATTGAAGGTCAATGCATTGAAGGTCAACGCATTGAATGTCAATGCATTGAAGGTCAATGCATTGAAGGTCAATGCATTGAAGGTCAACGCGTTGAGGGTGAGGCTACAGGCATTGCCACTGCTCCGCATATACACCCATTTGGCTCCCCATCCCATGGTACAGTACCCCATGGCACAGTACCCCATGGCACAGTACCCCATGGCACAGTACCCCATGGCACAGTACCCCATGGCCCTGCACAAAACGGCACCCATACCACACTGCAGTGATCAAGTGTATGTGACAACAAGACCACAGGCACCGATGCTTACCAGTGTTGCTTTCCAAACGTACTTCAATCTAGCTCATGCACCGCCTGTACTGCTTGTTCCCACCATATCGGAGTCTGAACTCACAATAAGCGTCACGTGATGCCACCAGTAAAATCGGTTAGTAACGGATTGGTTGAGCCAGCGTTGGGTTCTCACCAGCAGCACATACCCCGTCCACCACCCCCCACGCTCCTTGGCTCGCATGCGATTGCCCGTGTCCTTCCACCTGCCAGGCCAGCAGCAGGGCGGGATGGGTTGCTGGGAGTGAGAGCACTGTGCAGCCACCCTCCAGGCTCCTTGGCTCTCATGCGATTGCCCGTGTCCTTCCAACTGCCAGGCCAGCAGCAGGGCAGGGCAGAGAGAGCAACGACCGCCATAGGTCGGATGGGTTGGTAAGAGAGAGTGACAGTGGCGTTGAGGCATTGATATTGGTAGCTGAAGGAAGGTGGAGGAGGGCACTACATAAGGACACATATCTCTACGACACATACCTCTACGACACATATCTCTACGACACATATCTCTAGGATACATAACGCAGATAATGCAGAGCTAGAAAACGGAGATAGAAGGCTCAAGGCAGGTTTGGGATCAGTGGTCACTCACACACCCCATCCTCCGCTCCACCCTCCAGGCCCCTTCGCCTGCATGCAGTTACCTGGTTACCCACGAGTCCTCCCACTCGGGTAAATGAATGCTCGTGACTGAGCGAGAACATGCAGGAGTGGTGCACGGCTCAACCACGAGGTGATTTAAATGTTCAGGCCGTCAGCTTGTGCTTATAACGAGCGTGCACGATGAAGCAAGAGACTTCAGTCTGCAAGGGGTCACTGAGCAGCGCAGGACCCTCTGGAGAACTATGGGTTGTGATTTCGACTCACGCATGGCACAGGGGGGAGTGCATGGCTAGTTTAAGGCCGTCTTTCGCTTCTGCAAAGTAGAATGATTTTTGCTGTATGCAACCGTTGAAAACTCACCCGAATTCCGCATCCGCGGTATAAACATATCTGTCCAGCAGTGTGCCGTGACAGTTCCTCGCCGTCTCGCAGCCGCTTTGCGGGAAAGGGGTCGATTCAGAGGACTGTGCGGTTTCCGAGGAGAGCAGGCTGGGTCGCAGCTCGAAGATCGCCAAGTAAGCGACGGTCAGCGCGACGGCGACAGGCAGAATGCGACGAGTGAGAGCCGCTTGGAGGCGCCTGGCGACGACGCCAGGGCCCGACGCGTGCATAATGAGCTGCTCGTTAAGGGATACTGATTGCTTCAAGAGAACTCCTGCAGTCAGTCGGCTCACTACTAGAATCTCAATACGTCAATCTTGCTAAACACCAGAGTGCATTGTTCATCGTCGATCTCAACCGACTCCACTGGAGGCGACGACGATAAACCACAGCAGATAGTTTTCGGGTTGTGGGTTCAGTATAAAAGTTTCATCCTGGTGCGCACTGGTCTACAGTGGTGAAAACTTAAACCGCGTCTGAGCTTGATTGACCGTATTGACCAGGTCAACGGAAAAGTATGACCGTCCTAAATAGTTTCTAGCTGGAATATCGAACCAGGTACTGCAACGGCTCACCTGTGGAAACACATCGTACATAAGTTGGTTCGATTGAGGGATAACAAACAAGCAGCGGCTGCTCGACAACAGGGCTATGACTTTGGTTTGGAGCACCAGATCAAGAAAGAGTGACTTTCGTGCGCCACCTAGCCCCATCGACTGGCACTCTCCATTTGCAGGGTACGGCCTTGTAAATACGGCTGCGAACTACGCTAAGGGCGTGCAAACTAGCGTTCAAAAAGGTTTGAATTAATGTGGTAACTCGTCTTCGTGCACCTCGCAAATCACATTCGCGAGGAGTTTTTGAAAAAGTTAACACTTTCGACTTTGACGTGTTCAGCCACATTCGAACAGCACTCCCGATCGCGGTTCGGGCTCCAAACTTGTGCGACGTTCACGACATGCCGACGCTCACGACATGCCGACGTGTGAGGTTTGACTTAATCAACTTGTAAAACAGAGGAGCTCTGATGACTGGAAGGCTGGAAACTTGGCTGGAAAAGCTCAACAAAGCTACTGGAGTTGGCTTGATGAGAGAAAACTTACACTATGCTCAAGATTGTACAAGCCCACTAAGGCACAACTTCTAAAGCATTACAATCATGTAGATTGATAGCTCAAACTAGGCTGCTAGACAAGGCAACTTCCTGGAGAACTTAGGCACAATTCAGATTCCATGAACCTTGAGTGACTTGAGAGCCACATGAGGTGCATGAATAAGAAAGCTCTGGAATTCTCTGTCATAGCTGATTTTGTTTGGTAGAAACCTGTAGAAACTGTTGACACTTCTGTGAAGATTAGAACGAGAGAATGAAGAAGAGAGGAAGGGGTTTCACTAGCTGCAATGAGGATACATATAGCAAACCCTAGATGGGTTGTACTCGCTATAGAGCACCCCACTACAGGCTAGAGAATAACATTCTGACACACCCCCATAGCCAAAGTGGGGTGTAATCAGCACAATGAGCAAGCAGGCATAGAGCAGGACTTCACAATAGCGAACAAAGCTAGAGTCATTCACAAAGAGCAAGTGAGGAGGAGGAGGCGAGACTGTAAGAGGAGAGGAGATAGGAGGCGACGGCTGAAGCTGCAGACACATGGGCAACAGGAGTCACATTGGCACAGCGGCTACCGGAACAACGCTCCGGACTACTGGAGTAACTGGCTCCGCGGCTAAAACTAGCGGCAGACGCGCAACGGACCCACGAGCGACTGGCACAGCTGGCTACGACTGGGCTACCGGAGCAACGCCCCGGACTACTGGTGCTGCTGACGACACGACGACAACCTCCGTTCAACCAACCTCCTCCAACTGCCCCACACCTCTCGACACACACCCCCTGCTCAAACCCTAGCTCCACTCCCATAGCACCCCCCTTACACCCTAAACCGCAGGCTCACACACATCCACCTCCCTTAAAACCCTAGCTCCACTCTCACAGCACCCCCCTTAAACCCTAAACCCCAGGCTCCCACGCATCCACCCCCTTCAGTGACAGCTGCAGGAGTGGGAGACGAAGGAGGAGGAGCAGGGGAGACCACACACCCGTCACCCCCTACTCACCACCCCCAAACCCTAACAAAGGGCAGGGCGGGATGGCGGGTAGGGAGGTTACGGGGGGGGGAAAAGGGGGGGGAGGGGGGCGACGCGCGGCCTCCCAGGGCGCCAAAGCAGGCGGCAGAAGGGGCGACGCTCGCCCCCCTCCCCCTGGTCGCCCGCGGCCCTCGAGGGAGCCGCGACGGGCGATGGGAAAAGAGGGGGGGGCGGTGCGCGTGCCCCCGGTGCGCCGCGACCGGCGACGGAGCATGGCCGGGGCGGGGCCGGGGCAGGGTCGAGGAAGGGGCGAAAGGGGCGGCGACGGGGCCGTTGGAGGCGGCGACGGGGCCGATAGGGGCGGCGACGGGGCCGCTAGGGTCGGCGACGGGGCCGCTGGCGGTGGCGACGGGGCCGCTAGGGTCGGCGACGGGGCCGGTAGTGGCGGCGACGGGGCCGTTAGGGGCGGCGACGAGGCCGCTGGCGGCGGCGACGGGGCCGATAGGGGTGGCGACGAGGCCGCTAGGGTCGGCGACGGGGCCGATAGGGGCGGCGACGGGGCCGCAAAGGGGCCGCGAGGGGCCTGGAAGGGCGGCGACGGGCCGTGAAGGGGCCGCGAGGGGCCTGAAAGGGCGGCGACGGGCCGCGAAGGGGCCGCGAGGGGCCTGGAAGGGCGGCGACGGGCCGCAAAAGGGGCGGCGACGGGGCCGCGAAGGGGCCGCGAGGGGCCTGGAAGGGCGGCAACGGGGCTGCGAAGGGGCCACGAGGGGCTTGGAAGTGCGGCAACGGGGCCGCTAAGAGTAGGGCGAGGGGCACGCCACGGGGCGTGCCGAACACAGAGTAGCAGCAGAAGCAGTTGGGTGGGCCCACGGGCCTGGACCGTAGATGCTCTGAAAACATGTGAATATTAGAACGAGAGAATGAAGAAGAGAAGAAGGGGTTTCACTAGCAGCAATGAGGATACATATAGCAAACCCTAGATGGGTTGTACTTGCTATAGAGCACCCCACTACAGGCTAGAGAATAACATTCTGACAACTTCTTCTTGAAAACAATTCCGATCTGTATCGAGAATTCGGCTCCAATCTGATTGGTTGAGAAACTTTCTGATTTGTTTGCGAAGCCTTCAATCCGTCGCCGACATTCCCCCCTTGCTGCTCCTTGTGTGCAAAGGGCTGGGGCGACAGAAACTTGATTCTCCAAGAAATCAGACGTTGTGCGACGATGACGAGACTGTACAAAAATTACGCCCGCGACGACTTGTCCGAACCTTGAAGTGTTACTTTTGAGTGCCTGAGCAATTTTTACGAAACTTCGAGCCAAAAGCCACGAGTTCGAATAACAATAATGATGGCAATTTGTTTTAAAAAGTTTGATTTTTTACAAAATCGAGCACTAGTGTACACGCCCTCAACCGAGTTAAAAAATGCTGTACTCTTTAGTGACTTAGCCATTACCTATTTTGGTCTCACCACATTTCACCACCTGAAACATTCAATGACAATGTTCTACCTCTCCGCCATGGATACTATCAGGAACTTAACTAGCATCAATGTCATACAATTTCTTATCAATGCTTAGATCAGAGTACACATAAGATCAAGTTCAACATGGAGCAAAACCTTTCACAAGGCGAATGCTAAAAAGTACTCTGATCAAGCATGTGTTCAAGCATCGTAAGAAGTATAAATTCTAGTCTGTGCTCAGAATATGCTCATTATCAGCTGGTAGTTGCATTCAGCAAGCTTTTCATCATTGCACTATGGAAGCCCAGCCAGTTTCTGCTTTTGATGCAAGTGTTACTAGTGCTCCAATGAAGCAGACTTCTCCCATGACGCCTGTGCTTACGTCGTTGGTCATGGTTCCGCTGGTTGCATCGCCATCATTGATCAACAAGAAGATGACCGGTCCTTTTGACGAGCTGCTGAACGAAGGCTCCAACGCTCTGACGAATGCTGGCGTTCTGAAGGAATGGAAGATCGCTAACGATGTAGAAGAATCGAGTAAGGCATTTATGGATCCGGAGGTCAACGAAGCAACACATGATGCAAAACGCATGAACAAGCTGAAAGACTACGGATACCCAAGAGATGATCCAGATTGCAGAGAGTTACTCCACAACAAATCAGGACTACGGGGGAAGACATGAGCTGTGTGAGTGACCGCAGCATTTGTTAGCGTTCTCTCTACTTGCTCATTTATGGGGAGGATTCACTAGAAAGAGTTTGCATCAATGGATTAACAATTGCTGCAATGGCAAAGGCAACGCCGACTACACCAGAGCCTGG